AGGAGCTTCAATTATTTTTTTAGAGAAAAAAGTCTAAAAAATTCTAGCTATTATAAATAAGACTAGTGCTTCCATTATCCAGTATTTCCTTTTTTTTTTTTTTAACCATGTTTAAGTAGGTTTTGTTTCTGTGATTTTAAAGAGTTGAAATGAATGTTCTGGTTAAATTTATTTTTATCTGGTATCTTTGCTCCTCTGCTTTTGGTGGCCTTTGAATCTAAGTTTGAATTTTGTATTTGCAAAGTAAAAATGGCATGTATGTTTTCACTGTCATTTCAAAAGAGCTCATTTTTCCCCTGGCTGGTGTGGCTCAGTGGATTGAACACTGGCCTGTGAACCAAGGGGTTGCCAGTTGGTTTCCCAGTCAGGGCACATGCCTGGATTGCGGGACGGTCCCCAGTGGGAAATAGTCGGGAAACAACCACACATGGATGTTTATCTCCCCCTTTTTCTCCCTCCCTTCCCCTCTCTAAAAATAAATAAATAAAATCTTTTTAAAGAGCTCATTTTAAATATTTCTTGAACTTTAATCTTTTACCTCATCCTGCAACTACCCATTGAATCTCAGTCAGCCAGAAAAAGGAAAACCTGGAGACTGAGATCCACTGGAGACTAAAAGATTCATATTGAAGAAAGTGGTGCTTCTTTTCTTTTTTATCTTTCCGTTGTTTGAAATCAGTCTTAGTTTCTGTGAAACTAAGAGTGACAGGATAAAGAGAAGAAGGAAAAAAAGGAAGTTGTTAGAAACTGGGGGTAATGAGCTAAGTTCTACTTGCTGTCTGTCCTCTCTGGCCTACTCCAGTTTGGTGTTTTGGCTCAAGGCCGGCAGGGTGAGAGGGCAGAATATTTCCTGAGATGCTGGCTGGCCTTCATTTCATACCTGTCCTTTGACTATATGCAGGTCATCCAAGCTTTCCACAGTTCGTTTATCCATTTGTTAAAGTGGAGCTTATGGTTGGTCAGCTCTATGTCTGTGAAAACATTGTGAAAGATCTAGGTCCTCCATAAATACGAGGTCCTGTCATTAAACCTTCCATGGCAGTGGCTTGCTACATGCTCTTCAGCCAGCCACATAATTTCTTCTTTTTGTCTTATTTTTAACACAGGGAAATTTTTTGTTGTAAAAAGAGGTGACATTCAAAATATTTAACAACCAGTATGATGTGGGCAGCAACCAATCAGGGCAGAGCCGGGACATAAGCAGTTAGAATTGCTGTATGGTGCATCCAGTGATTATTAAAACAGACTACACACTGTTGTTTTGAGAATTTCAACATAGCTTTGAGGCACCTTTTTTGGATACTTTTATTTAAAAGGGAATTCTATCCCTCTTGAACCCCAATCCAGAATTCAAAAGCAACAAGCTGCCTATATATTTGGAGAAATTGTTCTTTTGAACTAGTAATCTAACTCTTGAATTTTTAAAAATCAGAACTAACTTTCTTTAGTTAATAGATCCGAGGCCTGATTTGTGCGTGCAAGGGGTTGGTGGCAGGGGCCATGCAATGTTCAGACATCTGCTCTCTAGCCCTTTGGCTAGACTGAAATGATGTAGTTACCTGAGACCTCTGGTTTCCACACGAGACTATTGTATAAAAGGCAGCCAAAGTCAGATTTTTTTCATTTGTGTAATAATGATTGCAAATGTGTTTCCTGGATGTCATAATTGAATTATTTCTTCCTAAATATTCTCTAAGAGCATTATTTTAGATACTGTACTCATCAGAGGTTGTACACAGGTATGGACAGGTGTATTTTAGTTATTTTTCAAGTGATACCTAATTATCAGGCTTGAGGAAATGATTTGCATCCAAAGGATAAGATATAGTAGAATTGAACTACTATGGACATCTACTCTAGGCCAGTTTCCTTAGCTTAGCTTTTGTATTCCTGATGCTGGAGCCCTCCATTTGTCTAAAGTATTTACTTGGAAATCACGTATTAGTGGTTGAACTTCAGTCTCTGGATGTGATATAAATTTTGGATGCTATTCCCTCAGTGGAAGCCTCAGATGGGCAAGGACGGCGGTAAGCTGGGAGGAAAGCCAGCTCGGAAAACTCACACCTACTTCCGTATTCATTCATAAATTGGGAAAGAAGGAGATTGATGAGAGTCAGCATATGCTCCTCTACTCCAGCCCTGTGTTACCCAATTTCTAATATTTACTCCTCTCTTCTCTCTGCTGCTTTCTCCTTGTATTGTTAATTCTTTCGTAAAGAAATTCTTTATGCTTCTTACTTGAGCAGAATAAAAAATTATATTTACCATATTTTCAGAATATAATCTCCAAAGTTCTAATAACCCAGTGCTGCAGATGGAGACAAGGTCCAGGTTCTTGGAGGTCGTGAACGAAGATATTGTAGAGGAAAGCAAGTGGGAAATTTATTAAGGAAAGTATACTTCTCAACATGGGAGCGGGCCATCTCTGGCCAGAAAATGGCCCTCTTCTATTGAACAGCTATGTGCCCTGTAGGGTGTGTGCTTAAGCTTCTACACATGCAATTTCCCACAATCCTCCTTGATTGCCCTCTCAGGAAGGAAACCACAATTCTAATTATTATTAGGTGTCACAGGATGATTATCAGAAATCAGGATGCTGACTGATGACTGCTGCAGTGTCTCAGGATTTCCTATTCCATCTCCTGCCTCAGCAGGACTATCTGTTTTTGGTATTGTGGTTAGAAATATAATTTCCCACCAGAGATTTTTTGCTTTCTATTTAAGCATATAGTAGTTATGGAAGGTAATGTTAAATGCTTCTAAAGCTTTCCAAATTACCAAATTTAATTGCCGACTAAAGTACGTTCTTGGGTTACCACAGTTCCTGGGATTCTAGAATATAGAGATAAAAAGAGGATGAGACTTTAGGGACAGTCTCATCCTATAGTCTCAGTTGGTTTGAATTGATCATAAATCCTCAGTTTCCTGACCAAAGGGAGAAAAACAAAAGTTGGCACATACACAAAAATTAGAAGTACATCTCAACTTGACTGGCGAGAAGAATGGCCGTTCTGCCAACCATGAGTTAGAACAGAGAATGTACCATTAACCTTCCCAAGTGCATTTATAGAGTGAGTGTCAAGCATGTTCCCTTGGGCACTCAAAGGGGTCTGGAGATTTGCCATGAAGGGGATAGAACTCCAGGTGTGTACGTGTTTCAGTAAAGCTGTCTGGGGCAGAGGAATAAGGAGTGCCCCGTATCCTCGTGCACATGTGTTCATGTGCAGGTGTCCAGAAAATGTAATGAAGATGAAGATTCATCAAACAAGTTGTATACACTAATTACCTTTGTACTAAGTAGGTAACCACTTTCTAAAATCTACACAGTCACTGTGGATGAGAACTGACCACTGATTGACAAATAAATTTATAAAACCACCACACACACAACACACACACACACACACATACACACACACACACAAAGCCATATGAGAAACATGCCAAAATAACAGATAATGCTTTTTGCCCATCGGTTGTTGAGAAAATGATGGAATAATTTAATCTTTTAATTGTCCAGTAATCTAATACTACCAAGAAGTCAGAGAAATAGGACTTTTATTCTAATGGATGGCATTATAAATTGGCACAATCATTCAGAGAGCAATTTTTATTAAAAGTCTTGCCCTTTGACCTAATGATTTGATTGTAGGAATTTATCCATAATGGAAAAGGTGCACAAAAATATTTAATAGTTACAAGGATGTTCACCAAAGCATTGTTTGCTCTGTCAGTGGAGCAAATAATGGAGACAACCTAACTGTCTAAGAAGATTGTTTACTATTGTAGTACATCCAAGTAATGTTTTTCTCACATGGAAAGATGTTCACAATATAAAGGTAAAAAATATTGACTACAAAATAGAATTACAAGTTTTAAGTGTGTGTGTGTGTGTGTGTTGTGTGTAGATGTACACATATGAAAAGTTTGGAATATATATTTAGGTGGTTATTACTGGAGGATAAATATCTATTTCATTTTTTTATTTCCTAGTTTTCCTACGTTAAACATACATTTCTTTTGATACTTTACAGTAAAGAGATTTTTTAAATTAAAAAACTCAGCTGGGTAGTTTATGGAATTGGAAATCATATTAATGAAAATCTAGAACTTAGTATTAAATTTTCTTACGACGTGATCTTACCCCTGAAACACATTGTTTCTATTTCCTATGATACTTATATTTTTTTAATATGTTTAGTCAATAACAAATTTACCTAAATTCAAAAATGAAAATTACGATAATGTTTTAAATTTTTCAAAAGCACCTCACATAAATAAAGTACCTTTTTAAATTTTTTATAATAGCTTTTTAGGTAGGTAAAGCATCTCTCCATTTTAAAATTAGAGAAACTAAAAGTTAGATATCGTGTCTAGTGCTATGGAAATGGTTTTTCTTCAGATATCTTACCTTGGAATAGACAAGCAACAGAATTTGAAAATATTCACCATCCACTTAACTGTACTATTTTGGCGCTAACAATATAACGTCACCATGGGAAGAACTTGAAGAGATTTTTACAAGCCGACCCTTTATTTACAGGGATTTTTTTAACTGATGATATTATGATATAATTGTATCAATATCTCCTTTTAAAAAATATTTTATTTATTAATTTTTAAAGAGAGAGGAAAGGAGGGAGAAAAAGAGAGATAAACCCCGATATGTGAGAGATGTGTCATTGATCACTTGCCTCTCACATGCCCCCAACTAGGGACCTGGCTCACAACCCAGGCATGTGTCCTGAGTGGGAATCAAACTGGCGACCTTTCGGTTTGCAGGCTGGCACTCTGGCCACTGAGCCATACCAGCCAGGGTTCACTTCTGCTTTCATTGGGTTTTCATCATTGCTATAATTTTACAACAAAACAAATGACAGGAAAGATATGTGTGTGTGTGTATAAAAATATCTTCTATATATATGATAATGATTTAATGATAAGAGATATATATGTGCCAAAAAATTTCTTGTACATTGAAGTTTTCTACTTTTTTTCAGGTATGACAGCAGTTATCTGTACTTACCCTCTTGACATGGTTAGAGTACGCCTAGCATTCCAAGTGAAGGGGGAACACACGTACACAGGAATTATTCATGCATTCAAAACAATTTATGCAAAGGTACATAGTTACTTTTCTCATCTATATAATGTGTTTTTTATATGTAGGGCAATATTTTGATTGTTATATAAATAATTCTTTTGCTTACAAGTAATTAGTAATAATTATGAAAACACATCTGTGTTTCAAGGTTGTTCCCAGAATAATTTTTGTATTATAATGTATGCTTTTGTTCTTTGATGTTTAGCATAATGAGAGCAATGTAATGTAGCTTCTGTTGTTTTCTTCACTCAAAAGGAAGGCGGTTTCCTTGGATTTTACAGAGGCCTGATGCCTACTATATTAGGAATGGCTCCGTATGCGGGTATGTTTCGAATTTGGCAGAATCTTTCTTTTAATTACTTCTAAGAATGATTTTTTAAAGTTTAGCATTCTATATTTAAGTCATTAATCTGCCAGTGGTATTTTTTTTCCTCCTGAAGGGTAACTGTTTGATTTATTACCACTTACTAAGCAGTCAGTCCCTCATTTCTCCAGCGATCCTCAGTTCTACTTTTTAGAACAGTAATAGAATGCAGTTTTTTATGAAGTCTTTATATTTGTTACGATAAGTCCCTTGACTTTATGCTTTTTTTCTACCCCCCGGAATGTAAGGACTATAGATATTTTGCTATTCCACATACTTTAGAATCAGTTTTATTTTTTAAAGATTTTATTTATTTTTTGAGAGAGAGAGGAAGGGAGAGAGAAAGAGGGAGAGAAACATCAGTGTGTGATTGCCTCTCATGTGGCCCCCACTGGGCACCTGGCCAGCAACCCAGGCATGTGCCTTGACTGGGAATAGAATTGGTGACCCTTTGGTTCACAGCCCGAGCTCAATTCACTGAGCTACACCAGCCAGGGCTAGATTCAGTTTTTGATGTTGCACAAGAGCCTTGTTTGGATTTTGAATGAAATTTTGTACAGTTTTTGGACATTTTTGCTAGGTATAGTCATAGAAACCTTATAAACTTTGTAGTGTCTTTTAGAAAAGTACATTTTATGTTTATGGCTTGATTTAATTTTTATGTGATCTTATAATGTCCTGTTATCCTACTTGTTGATATTATGGCCAGCCACTGTGTTGTTTGTAGACGTTTTGAGTTTTCTGTGTGGGTAATCACATCCTGTGCAAATACTATTATTTTTCTTCATTGTAATTCTTATTTAAAAATTTTTTTAATTTACATTTGTCTTATTTTACTATACTAGCTAAGGACCTATAGTTCAGCAATAAATAAAAGTGATAATCCTGGGCATTTTGACTATTACTGATTTTCAAGGGAATATTTCTAATACTTCATTTAGTATAATGTTTACTGTAGTGTGTAGTAATTATTAGGTTGGAGAAGGTTTGGTAAGAATTTTTACTGACTCAGTTCATTATACTATTGTCTACTGTTGAATTTAATCAGACACCCTTTTCTATATTTACTGAGGTGATCATACAATTTTCTCCTTTAATCTGTTAATATGGTGAATGACATCAATGGATGTTCTAATGTCAACCCAAATTGATTGTGATATAGTGATCTTTTTATGTCTTGTTGGATTCAATTTGCTGTTTTTGTAAGTGTTACATCTATATTTATAAGGAGATTACTTTGTAATTTTCTTGTAATATCCTCAAGGTCTCATAGAATGAATTAAAAAGCATTTCTTCATCATTTTTCCATCCTCAGGAAGAACCTGTATAAAATGATTACAGTTATCTGTTTCTCAAGTTTTAATTATGGGATGACTTTTAAATACTGGTTTAATTTCTTGAGTGATTGTAGAGCTGTTCATGTTTTTGTGTCATTTTGGTAATTCGTATTTTTCTTTACTGTTATGAACTTGACTGTTTTGTGCTGGTTTTCAACTTTTTGTTAAAAGGTTTTCCTTATTTTTTCATATCTGCGCTATCTCTAGTTGTATCCCACTTTTCATTTCGTTTTTCTTTCTCTTCTCTAGTCTACCTTTATTCTCCATTTCATTAATTTTTGTTCATGTCTTAATTATCTCCTTTCTCTGGGTTTAGTCTCTAGTTGGATGCTTACCTAATTAACTTTGAATCTTTAGATTTATTTCCCCTAATGTAAATATTTTTTCATAAATACTGCTTTAGCTGGATTCATTGAGTTTGTTATTTTATTTGTTTTTACTTAAGATTTGGAAATTTTCAAACATATTCAAAAGTGGACAATAGTATAATGAACTACCATGTACCTATTACTTAGCTTCGGTAGTGATCAACTCACGGCAAATCTTGCTTTATCTAACCCCTAATTACTCCCTCCATCCTCATCTCAAATTGTTTCAAAGCAAATTCACTTTGTTTCATCCACAGTATATCTTAAAAGCATGGCTACATACCATTTGAAACTTGGAAAAAAAAGTCCTGAGTGTCATCTAGTCATTGTTCAAATTCCTACCCATCTCGTAATTATTTTTTGGCCATATCCAAGTTAATATTTGCCTGACATATCTTTTTTCATCCTTTATATTTTCTGCTTTTTCATGTCTTTATGTTTTAGGTATTTCTTTTGCAATCATCAGAGAGCTAGATATTTTATTTAATCCAGTCTATAAAACACTTTAATTGTCAACTAATCCACTGGATGGTTATTATGATTATTGATATATTTAGACTTGTTTCTATACCTTGCTATTCTATTTCTGTGTGTTGTTTTTCTTTTTTTAAATTTCTTTCTCATCTTGTTTGCTTATTTTTATGAATCTTTACTCCCTTACTCTTTATAAATGTACAAATTTAGTTTCTTCCTCCTATGCATGGTGGTCTTTAATTATGAGCTTATCACTTGATCCTGATCTCTGAGTTTCAGACTCTGATTCCTTCTTCTGTAGGACCAATGGAGGATCCATCTTAATGGCTTTGCTGCTATTGGCGTCGATATGCAGTCATTCCACTACTCTCACGAGCCCACAACTCCCAAGTGGGCTTATATGGGGAGGTGGTTCTGGGGTTCTTAAACACCTTATGCTTTTTGCAGTGGATACAGTTGTTCTGCAGTGACAGAGCCCCTCAGAACACCTGTACTGCCATCGTGCTGGCAGCAGAACTCTTTAATTTTTTGCTATATTTTCTTCTTTTCCTATCTTTTATTTTTGTTTTAACTTTCAATTTTTTAGTTATATTTTTACAGTTATATGTACATATGTAATTTTTCTTAATTCTTCCTGATTTTTGAAGTATTTTTTTATATTTTTGAATAGTCTTTACAAACATCATTTTTATTAATTGTGTCATATTTTATTGATTATAACTCCACATCATTTAGGTAGTTCTAATTATTTTTACTTGTGTTTATGTTGTTATGAACCTTCTTGTTGTGAACTTTTCTGTATTTAGATTAAGGCCTTAGACTAGATTTTCCAAATACAAGTGTATGAATATTTCAAAATTGTATATCATCATTTCCAAATACTATAAAATTATAAGAATTTTCTATAAAGAATAAATGCATATATTGAGATATTATTCTGGATTGAATTTTTGTTAGTGCTTATTTGTTCTTACAAATACTATAAAATTATAAGAATTTTCTATAAAGAATAAATGCATATATTGATATATTCTTCTGGATTGAATTTTTATTAGTGCTTATAGTATTTTTACAAATACTATAAAATTATAAGAATTTTCTATAAAGAATAAATGCATATATTGATATATTCTTCTGGATTGAATTTTTGTTAGTGCTTATTTGTTCTTAAGCATCAAGTATATCTTTAAATATGTTTTTAAAATAAAAAAAAGGGAGGGTGGGGGCAAAAAAAAGAAAAAATAAGTGGCTATCAAGATATCTTGAGTAATGCTCAGGTGATAGGGATATTTGAATTCTCTTCTTTTTTAAAAATATTTTATTTATTTATTTTTTGAGAAGAGAAGGGAGGGAGAAAAACATCATTGTATGGTTGCTTCTCATGAGCCCCTCACTGGGGTCCTGGTCTGCAACCCAGGCATATGCCCAGACTGGTAATCAAACCCATGACCTCTTGGTTTGCAGGCCAGCACTCAGTCTGCTGAGCCACACCAATCAGGGCTGAATTCTACTCTTCATTTTATTAACATACAACTTTAATGGATCTATTATAAACTTATGTAAATTTTCAGCAATATGAATTTCATATTACCAATAACTGAATTCAGTGTTTATTAGATTTCATTTGTCTTGCAAGCCAATATGAAGATTTCTCTCCTGATCACAACTCTTGAAGACAAAATTAGATACTCAGTTAAAATAACAATGTTTTGTCACTTCTGAATTTTTTGCCTCTATCTTACATTGTCACCATTATTGTTATTATAAATGGAAGTTGTCATATTTACTTGTATTATTAATTATGAATTTAATATTTATTCATGGGAAACTTTGGGAAATAGTTTAATTCTATTCCTATATAAGATGGCATTATACTCACTAATACCTTTATTCAGTGAACTGAATTATTTATGTTAGTGTGTAAAAACCAATGCTATAATTTTTTATGGGTGCTAATTTTGTTGTCTTTAGGTTAGTTATAGACATTAATTATTTTTTGTCTTAAATTAAGCCAAACAGCAGGAAACAGGAAATGCATAGGTAGTTCCTTGAGTTAATTGGTTATTTTGTAAGATTGGTATCTTTTCACAGCTCATGTTCTATTTAGCATCGTGGTGAATTTATATTTTGTTTTTCAGGTGTTTCATTTTTTACTTTTGGTACCTTAAAGAGTGTTGGGCTTTCCCATGCTCCTACCCTTCTTGGCAGACCTTCATCAGACAATCCTAATGTCTTAGTTTTGAAAACTCACATAAACTTACTTTGTGGTGGTGTTGCTGGAGCTATAGCACAGACAATATCGTAAGTTTCTTCATCCACTTAATTCAGTCAAGTTACCCAATCCTGATTTTTAGCATTGGTTAATCACTTTTTCTAATAGATTATTAAAACGTAGTATTTCTTGCAAAATATAAGTATAAATACATTTTTTTCAGATGTGCCCGCACTTTTAGCATATTATAAAAAATTTAGTACCAAATTAGTGAACCCACCCAAATTCCTATGGATTCATTAAAAATAGATAGAAATACTAAGTATATATAGTCTTCATCCATATTTTCTCATGAATTTGCTTTGCCTATATGAAGTTTCTGAAATTCGAGCCATTTATTGTGTTTGTGTTATGCAAGGAGGCACAACTTCTCTTGCTCTAAAATCTTGAAGGCCTGCTCAGTCAGACAGTGTATAAGGCATTGGGAGGTTCACTGAAAGGAAAGCACAGTTGTTGCCTCAAGAAGACTATATTCTTACTGAGACAGTACCAATATTGTGGAATTGCATATTAATTTAAGTTCTAGTAGAAACATAAAGGTATTACTATCTTGTAATTGGAAAGGTGGCTTCGAAGAATTTCTGTAGACCTCTTGGTCTTGATTACATGAGATAAAAAGGGTCCTGGATACTAGAAGCAGGAACTTTTCAGGAATAGGAAGAAAAGCTTTCTATGACTGAGTATCCTGTAAAACAGAGGACAGCAGGAAGTGATAGTGTCACAGACTCGAAAAAGAATATCCAGTGGAAAAAGAAAAGTCAAATAAGTACTGAAAAGTAAGTTGTTCATTGGATTTTACAATTATTACCTTTGTGAAAGCAAATTTGGTGTACTTGTGTGAGAGAGCAGATACATACTACAGTGAAGGTAAAAAAGAAAACAGGTGTCTGGTTTACTTTTAGAAACCTGGCTGTGGAAACTTGTTCATTTGCAGACATGATCACCTCTGGCTATCCTAATTCTCTTCTTGGTTTTACTACCCTTTTTCTTTGTTACTCACTTCCAACTTAGGTCCTTAACATCTGTCTTCTCTTTCCCACTTCTCCTCTAAATCTATATTCTATACCCATTGATTCTTAACAGATTCAGTGGCTCCTTCTCAGGTCTTTTACCTTCCTTTCAATTGTTCTAGTTCCTTGGTTTTTGTAACAGTGCCCTTGCTTGGCTATCATTCTCTCTAACCTTCCCTTTTCTGGTACTTTGCTGATTCATGTCTTCCTCTTCCTACTTATCTGTGCCAATTTTCTAAGGCCCAGCCAGATAGTAATCCTTTTGCTCTTCCCTTAAATATCTAGAATAGCTCATCTATTTTTATGGTTTCATAAAGAGAACCCATTCTCTACAGATAACCAGTTCTATTTCAATCTCCTTTGTTGACCCACTATTACTTCTCCAACAAGCTCTTGGATGTTTCTACCTGAACTTCTTCTGCAGTTAGTGCCAACTCTGTAATTCAGATATATCTTTCCTCTTTGTTATTGATGGACATTAAACTTCTAGTCATGATAATGCCTCAGAATTATTTTTTATGTTTTACATATCCATATCCTCACTAAGTCTTATTACTTTTTACTTTAGAACTTTGCCTACGGTGCTGTTTTCTTTCTTCCTCGTTGTTATTTCCCTAACTCCGATCCTTGTACCTTGTCTTCTTGCATTCTCTCCTTTATACTAATCATCTTCTGCCCCCATACATCTTTTCCTGCTTGGAAACTGAATCCTTCAGGTTGAGGTTTTGGCCCCTTTATCCCCATAAAGTGTTGTCTTCTCCCCATGCCCCATTAAAAAAGAATTCCTGGAGATGCTATTGAAGTATTTAGGGAGTTTCAGCTGTTAGTAATGTTACTTCGTGAGCTGCTTGGTTCATACATGGATTTTTAAAAATTATAACTTTTATAATTTAAATGTATACAAAAGTATATGATTATTTTTGGCATGTATCACTTATGTGTATATTAGGTGCCATGGAAAGCTTTGAGTTAGAAAGTAGAAAGCAGCTTTGTGACACTAGAGAATGTCTCTAAGACTCAATTTTTTAAACCTTTTTAAAAAAGATTTTATTTACTTATTTTTAGAGACAGGGGAAGGAAAGAAAAAAAGGCAGGACAGAAACAGCAATGTGCCAGAGAAACATCGATTGGCTGCCCCTCATAAGCCTCTAACCAGGGAGCTGGCCCACAACCCAGGCACATGCCCTGGCCTAGAATCGAACTGGTGATCGCAGGCCAGTGCTCAATCCACTGAGCCACACCAGCCAGGTCCTCAATTTTCTTATGTTAATGTTGGAATAACAGTACCTACTGTATGGAATTGTTGTGAAGATGGAATGAGATAATGTACATGAATTGTTTAGCACAGGATCTAACATAAGTAGTCAATTTTAGCAAAATAAAATTTCAAGAAATCACCTGGGACCCTACTCTGAAAAGAAATTACTTTTGTATATTTCATTTCAGGCAGTCTTTACATAGAATTTCCTCTGTTTTCTAATTATCTGTATTGTTCATTATAGCCCTTAAAGAAATTATTTTTGTTGGACTACTCTATACAGGAGGACTTGGTGGATATTCTTAAATTACTGGTTCTCAACTGGGGTGATTTTGCCTCCAGTGAACATTTATTAATGTCTAGAGACATTTATTGTTGTCACAGCTGGAGGTGTGTTACTGATTTCTAGATGTGGGTATAAGGCCAGGGATGCCCCTGAATATTTTACAATGCACAGGACAGCCCTTCTTAGATTACTAAGAAGTATCTAACCGAAATGTCACTAGTGCCGCAGATGAGAAACCACATCATAGGGTTACAACTGTGAAAAACACCCAGTTTGTTTTCTCCAGGAGGTGGCATTTATTTTGGCCTTAAGGAATGAATAAAAATTGATACTGTGATAGGAAGAAAGAACCAAGAACCATCTAACCTGAGGGAGCCACATAATCAAAGGCCAGGAGACCTCTGTATTGTTATTTAGTTCTATTCATGGCCTGTGTCCTGACTCCCAAACAATAAGATGATAGGAATACATATTTCTTAACATATATTGGGCTTTGTATTCAATAATTATTAAGCAGAAAACTGAAAATAATTTTTAAGTCCTTATGCCTTTTTCTTCTTTTAGCTATCCATTTGATGTAACTCGTAGGCGAATGCAATTAGGAACTGTTCTTCCAGAATTTGAAAAGTGCCTGTAAGTTTTCCATTTATCTTTGTTCATTTTCTTTAGGAAATGTAATGTTTAAAGTAAGTAGGGAGATAGGACTGTGTCTCATCGGTAGTCTGGAACACCCATTTTATCTTCCATAGTTTAATTATAAGGTTTTAATTCAGGTCCCAGTCCTCCTATTAAAATTTTCCCTTGAGAACAGCTCTCTGTTAAATAGGAATAGAACATGAGCCACGTATGTATTTTAAATTTTTCTGGTAGCTATGTTTTTAAAAATGTATAAAATAAACATGAAATTTAAAAAATGTTTTTCTTTAACCTAATATATCTAAAATATTATAATACAAACATTTTAATATTTTACATCCTGTTTTTATACTAAGCGTTTGAGAGCCAGGGTATGTTTTACACTCACAGCACATCTCAACTTCAACTTGCAACATTTCAAGTGCTCAGGAGCCACATATGGCTAGTAGCTGCCATCATTGCACAGCACAGCTCTAGAGTTCTCTATAATCTATAGATATTAATATTTAGAGTCATTCTGTTTGATTGGTGATATGTTGTCCCTCGGGGGAAGAGCCGAATGTTTGTTCAGGACCTTAAATTGCCTTTATTGACCCAACAGATTTTTTTGAAGATTTCAGTCCACATTGCCTATTGAAAGGTAAAGACAAAGCCCGAAATGTTGGTTTGAAAGGAAAAAGAACACCGTTTGAAACAAGAAAGTCTTTATTGCTGAAATGGGAAAGATGGTCCTTCAAGCTTTAGTTCTATAACCACCTGCTAGTTATAGTATAAAACTGGACCTGAAATGAAAACTTAAAGGATAACTCTTCTTACATCCTTTAAAACAACTACAACAGTATTTCAGATATTATTATGAAATAGTATTTGTACTAGTTTAGAATTCATTACTGCTTTATTGTGAGTTTTTAGCTTGTTTTAGCACTTGCCTTCCAAAAACTATTCAAGATGGTGTCACAGATACCGGCCCGCAGTGTCTGGGGCGTCATGAATGAGATATGAGACAAATTCACACGGACTTCTGAGTCCTGTGGAGGAGAAGGGATGGTGCAGCTTCTCTCTCAAGGGGAGAGCACCCCACCCCTTTTGCCCTGACAGGTTTTTTATTGGGTTCAATTTGCACAGGAATACAGGGTGTATATGTAAAGTTCATCAGTCATTATCTGGCAGAAATGATTAAACAATAGATAACATACAAAGAACTCTGAGGGCCTATTCTGAGTCAGGGTCAGATAGCTAAAGAGTCATAAAACTTTGAGGAACAAACTCACTTCCTGCTTGGATCCTTATTATTTAAATTGAGGGTATTAGCAAAGTAGGTTTTGTAGGATTTTATGCATTCTTTCTTAGGCCTGATTGCCCTAGGGAACCTGCCCTTTCCAGCACAGGGCGGCACCTACCTCCAGCATTGTTCTCAGGCTTAAGGCATTGTTTCAGGCTTAAGTCAGGCAGGGAAGTAAGGCAGCCAAGAGTAAGACTCAGGCTATGTTAAAGCTGAGGGGCGAGGGTCCATCACCCCCTTTTTCTATAGCCCCCAAGTCCTTCCCTGGTTTCCCCCCCACACACACATGATTGTGCCTGTCTTAGGGCGTCCCTCCCTTGAGGAATCTTACCCATCATTGGCTAATGGATCAAGCATTGTGAGCCAAGCAGGGTGAATTAAAAGGAGTGGAGGGGATGCCCCTGCCAGGGAGATAAGCTTTGTCCCCTTAGTGGCTTATGGTCCCAAGGTCACTCAGCCTTAACCATGGGGGAGTTACAGCTTCTGAAACCAGGCAGGGCAGTTCCCAATAAGATGGCATTTTAGCTTCTTTTAAAAATGCTGTTATGGATCTTAACATTGTCTCTTCATAAGTGGGACTAAAGGCGTCATCATGTAACCGCTGTCTTTCAGTACCATGCGGGAGACGATGAAGTATGTTTATGGACAGCATGGAATTCGAAAAGGATTGTATCGCGGTTTATCTCTGAACTACATTCGCTGCATTCCCTCTCAAGCAGTGGCTTTTACAACATATGAACTCATGAAGCAGTTTTTTCACCTCAACTGAAAAAAAATTATGATCTCCTTTCCTTAACAAACTCTCAGAGGGATAAATAAAATGTTACTTTAATTTTGGGGAGAACATTACTTGAAGGGGGATATTTGCCCTGTCACAGGAACCACTGGTATTTAGTACTTGATCTTTTTTATTCATCACAAATCAAGAGCACTTACTATACTTTGATACCAAGAGCTGCACCATAGAACACTGAGAAAAAATTCCTAAACTGATGCTGGCTAATCAGTTAGGTTGTTTGAAATCATTTAAAGATGTTCTTAGGAAGTAGAACTAACTTAAAATTGGATTCAGAAGGTTGCCATTAGCTTATAATGCTATTCCAAGCTTTTCATTGTAATCATGATTGTCCAAGATTCTACTATTGGTTATTATCATTACAATAAACAGGCTTTGCAGCAGAATGAAAAGAAATGAACTTTTAAGTTATATAAACCATAGCTGAGAAGCCAGCATTGGGATATTACTATTTATCTTCTTAAAACTGCTCCACTGGGTAAAGAGACAAAACTCTTTTTCTCTTCATTAAAAAAATAGTTGTATTTAAAACGTAGTCATGTAGAGACTCAGCAATAAATGAAGAATTTTTAGGTATTGCTCAAATATTATTACCAGGTATTGTGACTGATTTATATATTTTAAAAAGTCAGTGTATTTCCCAAAGGCAGTAGTAGTAAATACTGACTGTCTGCTTTAAAAACAGATTAACATTATAAATTTGTTAAATGATTTGGTGTATAGTAGAAAATATGTTTCAGTGGACCGTGAAGTATCCATTAACATAGATATGAATGTCAAAGACTGTCTCTAAAGTATTGTCATGTTACATACACCAACTAGTTCTTCCATGGAAAATAATTTTAGTGCAATACAAACTTAAGTAGCAATGCAAAAATTATTTGAATTGCTATCCTTTATATTGAAATGGTTTAAAATGTAAGAGTTCCATTGATTGTATTTAGAGTACTTTTTATGTCTTATTATAAGCATGACAAAAATGGGAGGGAAACAGTTATAGTTTTGTCCTCAGAAGTAGTGATTTGTAAAATTGATGTGTATTTAAGACATTAGAAAACCAAGTTGAAAGTGTTATTTCTGTTTCAGTTTTTATTTTTTGTATAAAAAATTTCTTCTCACACCTTAGTAAAAATTAGATGAACTGGTTTCATTTTCAAAGCCTTTATTTTAAAACAAATATGTATCTTTGTATAATTTTGTAAGTGTGCACGTGGAAATACATGTGTTCCTCAAACTATTACTTAATTTTTACTTTTTTCCTTTTTATTGAATTTATTGGGATGTCACTGGTTAATAAAATTATACAGGTTTCAGGTTCACAATTCCACAACACATCATCTGTACACTGTATTGTGTGTTCACCTGAAGTCAAGTCTCTGTCCGTCACCATCTATTTCCCCCACACTGTCCTCCACCCCCACCTCCCACCCTGTGATTACCGCGGTCATCCCTCCCCCACAGCTGCTCTCTATCTCTGTGTCCGTCTCTATCCTAAAACTGTTTTGTATATTTTAAAATCTAGATTACACTGTAACTAAATATTGTCATCAAATCTCAAGGTAATTTAAATGTATAAAATAAGTATCTCAGTTACGTTATCAATAAAAAGGACTGAAAATATTTTTAAAATACGTTTGTGTTCTTGTCTTTTATAGACTACATAGGATATTAGAAGTAATTGTATTCACATTTCAACAATTCTTTCTGTTAACTATTCATATTGTGAAAGCATAAATGTTAAATATAAGCAGTCGGAATTGAAGAATATTTAAAATAATAACTATTTATATCTGCTTCATTTCAGATTGATACCCCAAGGGCATCTTGCCAGGTTATGTTCCCTTTAAAGATGGGCAATTTCTGTTCTGAACTCCATTATTACTCTTCCTGCCTTTCAGTGCTCTTACAGCCCTCTTTGATCTATAGAATGGGACAGTGGTCTGGTCCAGGGGTTAAGTGAGGTACCGCTGCCTGCTCTCAGCGGTTGCCCGTATGGAAGTGTCTGTAAGGTTAGTGGGTATATATAATAATATCTTACCCCATTTTCCCCCAGGGAATTCAACATCTGTTTATTTAGCACCAGTATATGCCAGGAATTGTATCAGCGTTTTGGGGGGCTTACCTTAAGAGGTCTGTCAGCTTACAATCTGGTTTGGATGCCCAATAACATCTAACATTGGGTATTTTTCTAATACATATGTACTGTACTTTATAGTAACTGCCTGTTTATCTATGTTCCTCCCAATTGGTTCTCTCAAGGGTAGAGTCATGCCTTCACCACCAATAAGGAACACAGGGTCTGGCATAATAATAGGTGCTCAGTGATGTTTACTGATAGGAAGAAGGAAGGGTTGGCCCCTGTTTTTGGAGACCTTATGTTCTACTAAAGAGAAATGAATCACAAATAGTCCATGGAAAAAGCAATTTAGAGAGTTACTTGGTTTGTGTCACAGAAATGTTTTGTTCCCAATTTGAGCCAGGAAGGATGGCAGCTAACAAAACCTATATTATATGAGTGATACATTGCCTTACAGAGTTGAGCCAATGATATGTGATATATAGCAACTGTTCACTTTTCACAGATCCTTGCATGTATTCTTTGTTTTGTTCTTTTTTAATCCTCACCCAAGGACATGGTCATTGATTTGAGAGAGAGAGAGAGAGAGAGAGAGAGAGGAACGGAGGGGGAGAAAGAGAAAAGTATCGGTCAGTTGCCTCCCATACATCCCTACCCAGGATCAAACCCTCAACCTTTTGGTGTACAGGGTGACCCTCCAACCAGCTGAACAACCTAGCCAGGGTGTTTTGCACATCAGTTCTTTGAATATCAGACACTGTTAGGCACTAGAAATCAGTGACAAATAATGTCATGTATGTTTTCTGAGGATTTAGTATGTTCCATGCCTTGTTTTAAGTACTTTTGATGCCTTAATACAGATAGGATAATTGAGTCCTAGGGAGATCAAGTAACTTGTGCAAGTTCACACAATAAAAGGTGCCTCTAGGATTTAAATCCAGCCAGCCTGAATCTGTAGCCTCGTCCACTAGCTATGATGCTATATTTTAACACTTTAGTATCCTATTCAAAAGAAATGCTTAACATGTCAATAAATTTGAACGTGTCAGTGAACATAAAACCAATCAATAAAATGATTGAAGTTTGTAGAAATGCTTATTGAGGAAGTAAATAGATTATGTGATAGAGAATATTTGTGGGATGTAAAGATCAGAGCTACTTTAGAATGGTCAAAAAATATATATATTTTTTAAAGATTTTATTTATTTATTTTTAGAGGGGAAGGGAAGGAGAGGGAGAGAAACATCAATGTGTGGTTGCCTCTTGTGCGTCCCCTGCTGAGAACTGGCCTGCAACCCAGGCATGTGCCCTGACTGGGAATTGATCCTCTGGTTCGCAGGCCCACACTCAATCCACTGAATTATACCAGCCAGGGCAAGAAAAATATTTTTGATACACTAAACTTTAAGCGGACACATGGAAGATAAAAAGGAAACAGCCATGCAAAGAATTGGGTGGGGGTCAGGGGACACAATGGCCCAGATAAAGGGAATAGGAAAAAGCTTGGTGTGACATAGGAAATGTCAAAAAGCCAGTGTGAATGGAGGATTGTGAGTGAGGAAGCAGCAACAAATTGGACTGGAGAAGTACACAAAGGCCAAATCCTGCAGAGCTCCGCAGGTCATGGTAATGAGTTTGCCTTTTACACTAAATGCAGTGTGAAGCCCTTGAAAGTTTTCAGCAGAGGGGTAAAATGGTCTGACTATGTTTTTACAAGGATCACCCCACTTGGTCAGCAGTGGTTTGCTGAAACCATTGTTGGTTTCAGCTAAAAAAGAAAAAAAAAAACCCCCAGACAATAGAGAAAAATAACAACTCCCAAAATTAGTTCTTTCAAAAGAACAACAAAATTGATAAGCCCCTAGTTAGGCTGATGACTAAAAAGGAAAGAATGTAAACTACCATTGCCAAGAATGAAAAGGAGGACGTCACCATGGATCCTGTGGGTATTAAAAAGATACGGGCTTTCTACATAACTTTGTCAAGGAATCTGACAATTGACGTGGACAGATGTCTTGAAAGTCACAACAACAGATAGCATAGATAAAACAGAAAATATGCAAAGTCAATTAAAGGAATTGAATTTATAAAAAATCCTTCCATGAAGAAAACTCCAGGCTCAGGTGGTGAATTCTATTGAATATCTCAGAAAGTAATAAACTCATACACAGTTTTAGAAATTAAAAGGTAGAGAGCACTTACCAACTCATTTTATGATGCCAGCATAACTTTCATACCCAAACCTGACAAAGTTAATACAAAAAATGAAAATTACAGACTAGAATCTGTTAGGAACAAAAAAGGAAAAAAATCTTTAATAATATTAGGAAACCAAATCTAGTAACATATAAAAAGTTTATTGCATCATTACCAAGTTGGGTTTATTTTAGGAATGACACCTTCACAATCTAAAGTCAATAGTGTAATTTCCCATAATAAAAGAATAAAGGAGGAAAACCACAATTCTTTAATAAATGCACAAAAAGCACTTGGCAAAAGTCAACATTGATTCATTATAAAAGCTAATTACATTAGAAGAGAACTTCCTCTTCTAACCGTATGAAGGGCATTTTGTCAGATAATAATTTCCAATTACACATCCCATCTCGCGTGCTCTTCTCATGCCATGTCACACATCCTTTCAAGAGGTAGAGACTGTTCCCTCCCCATCAGCCTGGCTGAGTGGGCCTGTGACTAAAGTGGAAGTGATGCTATGTAACCTCTGTAGTTACTCTCTGAGTAAGCCATCTTCAAAGTGGATCCTCCAACTCTCAGCTGATGCTTCATGAAACAGACAAGCTTTCCCATGGAGCCCTGCCCAAATTAAAAATTCATAAACTATAAGAGGATTGTCGTTGTTTTAAGCCACAAAGTTTTAGAGGTTTGTATTTTTTAAAGATTTTATTTATTTGTTTTTAGAGAGGGTGGGAGAGAGAAAGAGAAGGATAAAATCATTTATGTGTGAGAGATACATGGATCAGTTGCCTCTCACAGGTCCCTGAAATCCAGGCATGTGCCCTGACTGGGAACTGAACCAGCAACCCACTGAGCCGTACCAGCCAGACTGGTTTACAGACTGGTACTCAACCCACTGAGTCATACCAGCCAGAGCTTGTTTTTGTTTTATACATAACATTAGATAACTCTAACAGGTATCCATGAAAAGCCTACAGCTAGCATTATATTTAATGGTGAAATACTGAATACTTTCCATCAAGGTCAGGTAGAAGGCAAGGATGCCAGTGTCACAGCTTCTCCTTAGCCAGTGAACTTGGGTAAGAAAACAAAATAAAAAGCATAAAGATCAGAAAAGAAGAAGTAAAAGTGCTTCTATTCACAGATGACATTTACATAGAAAGTCTTAATGAATTGACAAAATAACTAGTAGGAATTATAAGCAAAGTTAGCAAGGTCTCAGGATATAAGGTAAATTTAAAAACTAGTTTCATGTGCTAGTAGGGAGCAATTGGAAAATAATTTTAAAACAGTTTCATTTAGAATAGCATAAGAAAAATAGAGAACAGTTAAATTTAACAAAAATGTGTAAAATCTGCACAATTAAAGTTGCAAAATATTGCTTAAAGACATTAAAGAAGATGTGATTCTAGAGTTCTGGCTAACATGGAGGAGTAAGTAAAAATACTGCACTTCCTTGAACCACCAAAAGAAGGAGAACAACCAATTTAAAAACTAAAAACTACCAGAGCTGCCAGAAAATCAAGCTGCATGGAAGTCTGACCACCAAGGAGTTAAAGAAACATTCATCCAGACTGGTAGGAGGGGCAGAAAGAGGCAGCTGGAGCAGAGAGGATGCTGGGCAGGGTGGAGGACCAAGTGGGTGAGGCAGTGGCTGGTTGACTGGCAGCACTACATTTGCTTGCGGATAAGCCAAGAGGAAAAATGGGGGAGTGAGACAGACCATGAAACCTAAGGTTCCAGTGCAGGAAACTACAGACTGAAGACCTCTGGCTTTAAAACCTGTGGAGGTTGTAGTGGCAGGAGAAATTCCCAGTCTCACAAAAAAATCCGTTGGAAATACCCATGGGATTCTAGAACGTACAAATCCACCCATCTGGGGATCAACACCTGAAAGGGCACAATCTACTTGTGGGGAGCAAGGGAAGTGACGGAAACTGGGGTGAGAGCTGAGCAAGTGGCATTGTATCCTTTCTGACCCCTTCTCCACAGACAGCACCACAATGCAGCAAAGAGGGCTGCTCCATCATGGCGAATACTTAAGACTCTGCCCCTTACAACGTAACAGCTGTGCCAAGACAAATAAGAATGGCCCAAATGAAAGAACAGATCAAAACTCCAGAAAAAAAACTAAGTGATAAGGAGATAGACAATGTTAGGTTCAAGGTTCAAAATACTGGTAATCATGATGCTTATAGAAATAATTGAGTTTGGTTGCAAAATAAAAAAGGAAATGAAGGCTATACAAAGTGAAATAAAGGAAAATACAGAGAACCAACAGTGAAGGGAAGGAAACCAGGAATCAAATCAATGATTTGGAATGAAGAGAAGAAATAAACATCCAATTGGAGCAGAATGAA